ACCAGTTGGATGAAAGTATTTCAAATTGTATACAGAGTCGTGGGGGGAGTGGTCAAGATGGCCTATAGGCACCAGTCTCGGACAGAAGCTCCTGTTCAGAAGAAAGGATAAAGTCCGGAGAAACACCCAACAAAGTCGAAAACTGGGAGCCCAGCTGAGAGAGAAGAGTGATACCGACAGGACACCTCTTCTGAGACAGACAGAGACTTCTAGAGGACACTCCACAGGTACATAAATCTCTCCAAAGGAATAGCACCCATCCCCTCCCCGAAGAAAGGTGTGCTTTTCCTTTGTTTCCTCTTCAACTGCTCCTCCGAGTCTCCTACAGGCCACCGATAAACTGAGGACCTATTCTCTCACTCCACGAGTGAGAGCCGCCAACAGGGAAGTTTACTACCCTGGAGGAACCCAGTTGAAACTTGGAACACACTCCCCCAGGCAGAAAAGTGGAACTGGCGTTTGCACTGCCATTTTGAGTTTCCAGTCCACTCTCCCTCCCCTTGCCCCTGGGACAGGCAGAGGAGAGCCAGGAACGACATCCACCCACCCTTCCAAGACCAACCCCCTGTCCCAGTCCTTCATCGGGAGAACTCCTTGATCCACAGTTTCGGTGTGCAGACGGACCCCCCTCAGTCAGCGCATTCTGTGCTCAGCTGTCTCCCCAGCTGCTATCTGCACTTCCCAAGACCTTGGTGCCGGTGACCGGGACTGACTCCGAACAGGGAGGGCTGCACACCCCACCAGGCGTCCGCCTCCAGGGCTTTGGTGGCCCTTGACAGTGATAGACTTCTGCTGGGTCGGGTCACTGAGCCGCGCCCACCTCCCGGAGCCCTGCTGGCCCACGGCTTCCATTGACTCCTGGTCAAGCAACCGCGCGTTTGCCTCCTGGGGCTCCCTGGCCCTGGATCACCATCAGCCCCTGCCTAACAGGGTCGCACTGTCCCGCCAATCGCGCTCCATCCTCCAGGGCTTTGGTGACCAGGGAGGGCAGTCTCGCGCCCACCTCCCAGGGTCTTGTCAGCTGGCAGTCACCAGCAGCTCCGGAGGGGAAGGGTTGCGCCATCCAGCCAGTGGCACGTGTGCCGCCTCTGGGGCTTGGCAAATTGCGACAGCAGCTGACTTCTGCTGGGGCAGGTCGCGCAGACGTGCGCCTGCCTCTTGGGACCTCCTAGCGCGCGATCACTGTGACCTCCCACCGGAGTAAGCTGTGCCATCCCGCCAGGGGCAGGTCACGCACCCTTCTCACCGGACCTTGCCAGCTTGCTGTCGCCAGCAGCTCCTGCCTGGGAGGGTCGCGCCGTCCCACCAGCGGTGCACCTGTCTCTGGGGCTTTGGTAGCCAGCAAGGACAACCTGCACCTGCCTCCCAGGGCCTTGACAGCTACACTGACTCCTGTAGGGGTGGGCTGCATCACCCCGCCTGCTGGCCCCGCCTCTTGGGGTCTTGCGAGGTTGTACCCAGGAGAAAACTAGAAGAATTCACTGGCAGAACGGTTTTAGGGATGGTTTCCGAAAGGTGCAAATTCAACATGAGATGGAATCAGCGGAAAAACTCTGGCAACCAGAATAACCAGAGTAGATTAATGTCCCCAAAGAAGGATGGAGTAGACACAATG